ATAAGGGCTTATAAGCCCAATTCTTTATCTACAATACTGTAGGTCATTGAATTTTATACAGAAAATATTGCATCATATTTTAAATATTTGTTTTATCAAGTCGGCATGAAAATGGACTCTAGTTCTTAATACGCAGAATTATTGTAGATTAACCAGTGGATATTATTCCAAAGAAAAAAGTTGTCTTTGTAATATTTAATCAAAATCGAAATAACTTGCTTTGCCTCTTTCTAATGGTGTCAAGAATACCTCTACAATTCAACCTATTCCCCATGGATAAAGACTTTTCCTTGCTGACTATTTCACTACACTCGGAAACTACAGAAATCAAATGGTTTGTGAACATTGTTTCATGTTGACTTTAAATTCTTGAACTTTCTTTTGAAAGTGAACAAATCAGGTTCTGCATTTATGGAGAAAAATAAATGACTGCCTCTCAAGGCATGCATATGGAATCAGTTCTTCACTGATTTTAATAGTACCCACTTGTCTAATGTTTTCTCAACACTCTCTCAAGGTTCAATTTACAGTCAAGTAGGAACAGATGGATAGCAAGAGGAAGTCCTGGAGTAATACTATATTTCAGCATTGAGCCGACTTCAAAATCATTTCATTTGTGAACAGGTTTCTGACTAAGAGCTTCAGAAATAATAGTCAATCACTTGAATCCCGCACTTATCATTTTAGACACACATACAGAGATATGTAATATATACATATGGAAAGTGAAGCCTTATCTATTCTTAATGTTATAAGGCAATCTACAATTGCATTTGTATTTGCACATATCACTTTTGCACATTACATACACTTAAATATAAAGGTTCTTTAATGGAATCTATGGTTCCATGAAGAACCTTTAACAATCATGGAAGCTTTCCATTGCAGTGCACTAAAGGTTCTTTGGAAAAGTTTCTTCTTCAGAGTATTACATTGTTCTTTATAACAAGAAATAAATGGTTCTTTTAAGAACTGTTCACTCAAAGGTTCTTTGCGGGAGCTAAAATGGTGGCACTCTTCTAAAGCAGTGGTTCTCAAACGGTTTGGCCATGAATGGGACCCACATCTTCCCAAGGTCATTAAAGGCAGGGTAAGCAATTTCGGAGAGGCTAGCAATAGCAAGCTAGCTTTGAAAGCATAAGATCCCACCCTCCTTTCAGAGCTTCTCCAAAGCCACGCCTCCTCAAAACACATGAACGCACACAGCAGAGTCTGCAAAGCGTCACGAGAGACGCCGTTAAATTATCTCATGTCTCAAAGCACATAACATTATAATTATAATGAACGTAAACTACTTACAGAGCTTTGACTTGTACCACCTGACTGCTGCAGATTCATTTCAGCATTGATAGTGTTGACATAGAAACACATAAATCCGAGTCTGAGGACGTGAACAGCTTCCGGTAGAACATCACTTGTCTCGTAAGAGTCAACAGCGTTAACGCATGTCTTTCAAAATAAAAGTCTTGCATCAGAAAAACACTTACATTTCTGTTTTTTGTTGATGTTTCTTTGACTACACACTCCGCAGCACACTCAAAACGGTCTTGCCACCCACCACTAGCATCGCTTGTAATCTGGTTGTTTTACAGTACAAGATGTTGTATAAATAATTTTATTCTGGTTTCTTTAAATCTATTTTTTTAGCCCATAGGTGGAAATTTACTTAAAAAAATCACGGAACAAATGAAGCAACACATACATCTGGACATGTTTGAAGATATTCATCTATTATTTATGGTTTCTCACTGCTGTTGAGTGTAACACTTTCTCATGCACTGGTTTATTTATTGACATGCCTAAACGACTCATGTCTTTAGAACTGATGCTCGCACACAGAGATATAGATTTTAAGGCTATCTGTCAAGTATATCAAGACATATTAATCCAACTTTTGGTATTATTTCTGAAGTACTCAAAATGCATCTGTTGCAATAGTGCTAAAACGTTATGACTCAAACAATCATGTTTATAAAAATGACAACTACTTGGTGGCGCTTTATTTTGTTTTTGTAACTCTCCTCCTCCACAACCTCATTGCTTTGTATGAATATTTCAATCACTTGTGCAAAACTTCCGAAAATTGTAAACACCTCATTAAACAATGCACAATTAGATGCCAGAACCACTTAACGTCAAATTCCACATTAAAGGCATTAATTTGCAGTTCCACTTTAGAAGCAAATTGACATGAAATAGAGTCAGACAGTGTACTTTCCACCCTGTGTGCCACATTAATTGGAGATATTTGGATTTATAGGGTTTGCATGCATCAAAAATCCTTCAAGCTGGAGCTCTCAGGTAAAATAGAGTAATCCAGGAATTTTAAATGTAAAGGATGTGAATTCTGAACCATACTAGAACAAACATGCTATATAATCTCTATTTTGCAGCATACAGTAAGCACATTTCTGCATTCATGGAATATCTTGATGACCTACTGCATTTACCATATCTAAAATGTGCACCGTAGACCTACTTTATCATAATATAACGTCATAAACAAATTATTCTAGTGTGACATTGACCCAAACAGTAATATCAACTGCAATTATTGTAGCCTATCTTTCTATTGACTCATTATATGATTATAGTGCAAAGAGAATGAAAGTACACTTTAGAGTAAGTTACGAGAAATAGTCTCAATACTTGTTTAAAGTCATAGCAACATCTAAAGTCACAATTACAAGAAACAAAGTCGCAAGTGGACCATATTAAGTCATATTGCAGGACATAAAGTGATAAAGCTGCAATTGGGGGAAAAATTGTGAAATATAAAGTCATAACTAACGGAGTTTTTTGAACAATGCAAACCAGCGGTAAACCCGTTTCTAAAAAAAAGAAAAATTGCAGTGCAAATCACAATGACGTGAAATAAATGTAAACACAAAATATTCTTTATTTTTTTTTCGTCTAGACTACACAGATTCACTGCTGTAGCTCTAAAAGGTATCTACATTTGCATTTTATTTACAGCCCACTTCTCAGCTTATTTACATTTTCAAAGAGAAGCATTTAGAAACACAGTGTTGAGAACAAAAAGTCCAAATGAGTCCGAAAGTTTAGAAAAAAATAAAATAAAAGCCTTGCGATGCGTTTCAGTGCAATTGAACACAAATAGCATTTTTTTTTCCTTCATTCAGCGTTGTTCTTTTTAAATACAGCGATGTTGTCAGACTCACGATGCCACTGCATTCAATGACAGTAAAAGAAACCAAAATATGCTCGACAACATTACACAGCTTAAAACACTTGATCTATTCATCTTGGTGACCATCCCAAAAGTGATTTCCCCAAGAGTGTCAACGAACACCGAACGCTAACGTGAAGCGCCATCATCTCCGACATATTAACATCACACAACCAGAAATAGATGCTCTTTGAAGTTCACATATCCAGATGGTGGGTTGACGTGCATTTCAACCTCTAAACGACGCAGCTTCAGGCCTTAATGCATTTCAGGCAGCTTGCAGACTTTCACGTTCAGAGCACTCACGACGTCGCCTCACGCTTGGGAGATCCTCGGGGCAAAGGCTATTCACAGGGGATGTCACCTTTCCTTACCACGATGTGCAGTGCTTGGAGCACCAAGTACATTTCTTAAAAAAAAAAAAAGAAAAGGAGTCTGAGTGCACGTTTAAGTAATGTGCTTATTTTTTTTAAGCATTCATGCCGCTTTACGCTTGAAGCGTTTATTTCACTGACAAACATGAGGACGTATACTCCTCTAAAAAACACAGCACTAAAATAAATACTGTCATTCTTAGGAATGGTCCATATGCAACTCTTTGTTTTAACCATGAAAACAAAATCAACCGAATCGACCAACTCTCCGGACTTTATTCCATGTGTTGAAACATTGTTCAAGTACAACAATTAGCGATAAAAGGGACAAACGTTCACATTTTTGATTTCACAACTGTTATTATACTGTGTATTGTGAATGCTTCCATAAAATAACACGTTGATCTCAAACTATTTAAAAAAAAAAAAAAAAAAAAAAAAAAAAATCCTTCTTCATAAAGTCTTAGTAGCTCCATTCCAAAACCTAGCGAGCTGCCGTGCTGTGTACCGCCTACATAGAGAGCTGCCTTCTTAGGCATCCTAACAAAATGGAACCTCGTAAGTGATTGATGTGCACACAAATTGCGCTTTGCGCGGAGAATTAGTTCCAATGGAGTTTGATGTTAGCATGTTGCTATGCTAAATGCACAGTACTCTAATGTGCGTAAAACATCATAGCACAAAATATTGGGTAAGTGTCCAATTCGTTCAGGCTACTTTTGAGCACTAAATAAAACATAAAAAGAAATATCACCATTTCTCTCACCTCATTGGATTTTTATACTTGCTTCGCTGCCTTGAAGAACAAAAACTGTTCTACCTACCTATTAGAACAGCGGTTGCATCAGGATCAACCCTTACACTGTTGTCTAGGTGGGCAGATTACTAGGTTTTGGAGCTTTTTTTTCAAAACAGTGTCGATTTCATTTTCACAAGCATCTTTAAAAGACCATGGGGCTACTCATTTTCTATTTATTTACTAAATGTGTCCATTTTTCAGATTTTAAGTGGCGTTCTTTATTTGTCTGTTCTCTTTCTAAATGTGTTTTAAGCCATTTGGTCAAAATGGTAGAAATAATAATAATAATAATAACAACAAAAATGGATGTTATCAGCAAGCCACTCAGTCCCAAAATATTACAAGACACCACAGCAAGTTTTTGAAAATGAGATGGGTTCATCTAGGTGTTTGAACCGCAAACACCAATGTCCTTGTTTAAGTTTGACACAGCCGGTAGGCTTTCAAGTATAAAAAGAAGCGATTAAAAGAGGTCTCTCCTTGGCTGAGGCGCGGGGGGGAAAGGCAGAGTGGAGTGAAGCTCGTGAATAACAATCTGCTCGTCTGGCAGCAGGCTGAGCCAGTGAGCATAATGCATTACCAGCCTTCTTCCTATATTCCTTTGAGCAAACCCACAAAACACGAAGGCAGAACTGCCATACGCCGTCTTCTAGCAGGACGAAGAGGGTTTAAGAATTACCAAAAGAGAGAAGGGCACTCTGCTGTCGAAACAGTGCAACTGTTTGCAACCATGTACGTCATGTATTAAAAAAAATAAGTCTGGCACAGTCAACATAAAAATAAAGTAACATAATATGGTCACAAACGAAACTTGTCTTTGGCAAGAAGTCCCGGACGCTGAGTCCGAGCACGGGTTCCCCTTGCGTTCATGTCACCTGCGACCCATCTCAGTCTGTCGCAAGAAGTGGACGTTATTTACGTTGTCGGCCAACTCGGGGAACTGATCGACCGACACTATGTAGAAGCCCTCGTAGCCCTGCACGCGTCCCGCGCTCAGGAGCTGCTGCCTCTCGCCGTCCGTCCAAACTCGAGAGCCCTCTTCTCCTTGCCGGAGTCTGTGGCGTTCGCGAGCCCACGCGGTAGCGACGGCCCTCTGACGCGCCAGTTCCAGTACGCGCACCTTCTCTTCGTCCTGACCGCTGCCGTAGCGGACGTTGAGGCTCAGTGACCCGTACTGCAGCTGGACGTCGGTTATCCGGCGCGAACGCCCGCCGAGGACCGTGTTGACCTGCGAGACGGTTACGTTAACGCCCGTCTCCAGCGTGCGCTGGCCCACCGTCATTCCCAGCAGAGATAGGTCTCCCTCTACCGGTCCCGATTTGACAAAGTAGTGCGTGTCCAATCCCGCAATGGTGAAGTGTAAATCCTGCAGATAGGTTGCCTTGTCTAGGACTGCAGCGATCCGCCGGCCGTCCTCGTTGGCCAGGCTGATGATGTCAGCAGAAACACGGCCCTCCCGGATGGCTACTTTCACACCTTTCCCGAAGAGCGACCCCCCTGTGGCGAAGAGCGTGTAGAGAGGGGTTTGAGGGCAGCCGGAATCACTCGCTCCGTAGATCTGGCCAAAACGCTCCAGTCGGACGAAAGACTTCAGCTGCCTCTGGACTTCACATTGTACCCCCAGAATGGACTGCAAAGAGACAAACAAAACCCCGTGAGTGTCCCAACATCAACTTTTTGTGGATTTCACTGTGATAATGGATGACTACACCACCAGTCAAACGTTTTGGGCCAGTAAGATTTTTTATGTTTTTAAAAGAAGTCTCTTCTGCTCATCAATTGCTGCATTTATTTGATAAAAAAACAAACAAACAAAAAAATTATTTTGTGAAATATTATAATTTAAAACAGCTGTTTGATTATATGATATGTGAATATATAGTAAAGTGTAATTTATTTCTGTGATTACTCCAGTCTTCAGTGTCACATGATCCTTCAGAAATCATTCTAATATGCTGATTTGCTGCTCAAGAAACATTTCTCATTGTTATCAATGTTGAAAACAGTTATTTATATATTTGTTTCAGGATTCTTTGATGAATAGAAAGTCCAAAAGAACAGAATTGATCTGAAATAGAAAGCTTTTGTAACATTAAACACTGGGGGGGGGGGGGGGGGGGGGGGGGGGGGGGGGGGGGGTTCGGGGTTGGTCACAACATTGATAATAATAATGAATGTTTTTTGAGCATCAAATCCGTATATTATACTGATTTCTGAAGGATCATGTGACACTGAAAACTGGAGTAATGATGCTGAAAATTCAGCTTTGATCACAGGAATAAATTACAATGTAAAATATATTCAAATAGAAAACAGTAATTTTAAATTGTCATACTACTTAACAATATTACTGTTTTTTGTATTTTTAATCAAATAAATGCATATTTGGAGAGCAGAAGAGACTTCTTTTAAAAACATTTAAAATCTTACCGATCCAAAACTTTTGACTGGTGGTGTACATTGAGCGATTAAATTAAACGTATGAGATTGCATCTCCAAAACCAATATTGACGCTACTGATTGAATGTGACATATTATGACATGTTTCATCTCAGCAAAACATTGTATGTTGTAAATCTTTGTGTGTGATTTTCACATTCATTAAGTCATCTCCTCCAGCGGCAGGCGCCCTCCTTCACTGCTGCTTCTGCTATTTCCTGGGGGTAAGTGACGTTTCCTGATGGCTTGTGCAGGATGGGTGATCTCAGCGGGAGACTCATCTTACCCCCGCGTTCAGCTGCTCAACTTTCCCCTCAACCAAGAATCATGCTGCTTCATTAACACTTCAAACATTTCACCTTTCCTGATATAACTACTGTACGTAGCAGAACTCATTCTATTTTATGTTCAGGTGAGAACGGGTGTGAATCATGTGATTTATTTTGAAGATCTTCCATCTGACTCTTCAACACTTAAATAACTTTTTGTTTGTAGGGAGAAAACAGGTTCCCGTGATTTTTTTTACCTCCCACTACCTTCCGAAGAGGGCTTGGAGTTCTTCTCACGGTTCTCTTTATTAAAGCATCATTTGCAGTCGATTTGCAGTATTTAAAAAGGAGCATCAGCTGTGGTTTAAACAGCATTCACAACCCATTTAACTTCTGTGAAACAACATTTTCTGTGAAACAATAAAAATGCAGGGAGGGACTTTTATAAGTAGATTGGATTGTGATAACAGATGTTAATCTGAGTTCACGATCAATTGTGGAGAACTACCACTTTTGAGGAGGTCAAGTTCTCTCTTCAAAGCATCTTTTAGTGTCCAAACGGCATCACTTCCTTTTCAAGTCTGCAGTTATTGCATAACCTTAATTAAAACTGCCATTAAATTGTGTGGTAAGCGTTTATGGTGCTGTGTGGGGAGTTTAGAAATAAACGTGCATTAATACATGAAATATTCCTTCTTAGAATAAAAAAAAAAGAGTTTCATGTTGACTTTCACAGAAATAAAGTGACTTTACAGTACTTTTCAGGCAGTTATTGCCACAAGCAAATAATATATTAAAAAGAAACTAATACAAGAGTCTCTCTTTAGGACAACAATAATGTAGTGATAAGTGACCCTTTCCTTTAATGTGACTTGACGGTAAATCCTCGCCCCAAGAGCAGATTTAGATTAGATGACCGCGAGGGACCTGCGCATGCAGATAGATTGTACGAGTCCTAGAAATGGCGAGATGTGTGTGTCAGACTCCAGGGCTCCTGGCCGGAAGGAGAAACAGAGTCCAGCTGAAGCTCTGGCACTGGAACAAAGTTCTTGTGTTATCAGATATGATTCCCCCTCGAGTACATGTCCCCATCTCTCCCTTTGCCTTCTTTTTACTCTCTGCTGAGTGTCGCCCTTCACTACAGATTAAGTTACTGACCATGTAAAAGAAAAAACACATAAGGTCTCTATAATGTCTCAATGGCTTCTTCTGGACAGTGATGAGATTAAAGGCCCTTCACGTTCCGCGTTCTGCTCCGCAGTTGAGAGAGCGAGGCTTTTAAAGTCTACTCCTCTGGACGTGAAAGACGTGTTCGGCGTGTGAACACTATCTAGTGGACTTTGTTTTCAAGCGCTCAAGTCACTCGCACATTCGTTGTTGTACATGAACCATCTGCGTGCACACAAAAATTGGGTTGCACATGGACTGTGTGCGGACCCTCCTGTTTTTAAATTCTATTTTTATTAAGTGTTTTATTTGTTTATATATATATACTATATATATATATATATATATAATCCCGATTAATTGCATCTAAAATAAAAGTTTGTTTACATAATATATGTGTGTGTACTGTGTATAATAATTATATATATATATATATATACACAGTATATATATAAAAATACACACACATGCATGTATATATTTAAGAAAAATGTGTAATTTATATATTAAATATATATATATATATATATATATATATATATATATATATATATATATATATATATATATATATATATTAGTGCTGGGCAGCGATTAATTGCATCCAAAATAAAAGTTTGTGTTTTCATATTATATATGTGTGTACTGTATATAATTATGTTGTATATATAAATACACACACATGCATGTACATACATTTAAGATTTTTTAAAATTTATGTATTAAATATTTATATATAATATAAATTATGTATAAATATATATATACAGTATTTACATGCAACTATTTCTTAAATATATATACATGCATGTGTGTGTATTTACATATACAAAATAATTATACACAGTACACACACTAATATATATGTAAAATAAAACAAATAAAACACTTAATAAAAATAAAATGTAATTTTTTTTAAACTTAAAATCTCAGGGGTACTTATTTGAAGTATTAAAGTGAATAGAAAAGTGAATAAAATCCCTGGCTTAGAGGTATAATACCGCAGACCTCACCACAGTATGTTTGTTTACTCCACCAGCCTTCTCATTCTGGTCACAGTTCACAGGGCACAGAGAGATAAACGGCTGGCTGTCTATGCTGTAACCTAACAATTTGACTTTAAAAAATAAAAATAAAAATACTGCACAATTCAAATAGCACTGGTCAGGAAGTCTGACAGCATGGAGGCCTATCAGTGCAGGGCTCTGATCTAAGTCAAGATCAATCTGTGGACATCCCGTGGATATCAGCACATTTACGTCACTTCTCAAACACACAGGTCTTCAAAACCCAAACGGCAAGGAGAAAAAGAGTGATAAAAAGTCAGCGCTCACTATCCAGCTGTTGCTGGAAACTTTCAGAGCACTAAATCCATCATGTTTGGTGTAGGAAGCAGAACTCCTGCTCCAAAAAAACCTCCAATTGAATTAAGAAGTGCCGGCTAAGAGTAAGAACACAGCACTGGGCAGGTGAACCTCATAAAGCTACTATTTCATGAAGTCGAGGTCATATTTCAGCCAAAAGCAACAGAAAAAACATCATATTTATATTAAATTCTATTTTGTGAATTGCCAACAAGGCATCATTTTACAACATTAATTCCATTAAGGGTTAGTTCACAAAAAACCCCATAAATAAAACTCCCTTTATTTTTAAAATCCTAAATTCCTTGATAGAAGTAGTGATGTCTGATTTGTGAAGGAATCATTTGAGTTTAAGAATTTCAATGAACCAGTTGATCTAGTTCAGAAAGAAAAGTTTGTTTTAACAAAGATTTGTTCATTAATTAAACTGATCTGTTTGCAGAGATTCTCGGTCAGGTGTTTTTCAGTGAATAACAAATTAAATTTGAACTAAACTATTTTAACTTTTAACTAAACTATTGTATGACTTAAGAAGACTTTGAACATTGCACATGAGTTGTATGGACCACATTTATGATACTTTTATGATATGATTTTGTCTTTTGAATGTAGATGAATGTCACTTGGTCTCAAAAACGGTAAATTTTTTTTGCATGCAAAACATAATTTCTCCCCCCCCCCCCCCCCAATTTTTAGGATGAAACATGAATCATGTTATTTGTGAGATTCACCTGATCATCCCTCCTTCAGTTGTCATCGTGTAGGTCGTAGATTTATTAATAGTTGCAAAATAGTGAATTTTAAGAAGGGTCATTTCCTCTATGCCTTTAGATACTCTGCACTGCAGGTCTTGTAAATGTAACATGGGCATTATGGTATAAACAACCCACTTTAGACTCTCAAAAGAGCAGCAGTGCAGCTGCAAGGCCATTAGTAGATTTTTTTTTTAATGCAGCTGCTTTAAAAGCCCATAAATGACCCCACAATTACATTGCCAAAAAAGCAAATTGGTTGGCAATTAGAATTGTTTACTGCACCCTAATAAAAGGGGAAAATATCTGCTAGTGGGGATGAGCCTGTGAGAGCTGATTTATGGGTAACTCAATAGGCATGACTATGCAAAGGGCTGTGGGACACAAACTGTTCTTTTTCGGTCTCACTTCCACAGTAAAGTTTCAATCTCAGAGTAAACATTCAACAGTTTTTACTGTTCAGTCGTGAGAAAAAAAAAAAATATATATATAAAACATTTGAAATGGAAAATTCAAGCAAGGGTTTGGAATTGAATTAGGCTCTTCTTTTGAGAAGCGCCTTGAAAGAGCTATTGGATGCACTTCTAAGGTTCCCATAGGAGAGGAACCCTACGAGGAACATGATAGAGGGGGAGTCTCCCTGGAGGGTTGAGATTGCTGCCCAGTCCATCGTTGCATCTTTGCATTGTGTCCAAGTTGATTTGAAGTCAGCCCACATCACTCCCAGAGAAACAAACCTTCCAGTGCAATTCTTTTAACTTTTCACAGGTTTTTGGGAAGTGGTCACACTAGAAAAGTCTACTTTCCCGTTGTACATTTTGCATAGTCTTGTTTTTGATCGCTAAACTCTGGAGTTGATGGTTGGATCCAATGGCCACAAGTAACTGAGACCTAATATTTTTGTGCTGTATTGATGAAATGCATGCCGTGACAATTTAAACAGCTTTGTATGCAAGAGCACACTACGAGAGAACACTCTGTGCTTTTGATTAAATAATAATGGTTGATTCCCAAAAGAGAATTTATTAGAGAAAGAGAAAAAGAAAGGCTCTGTTGGGAGTTGGCTCTGCAATCTAACAAAACTCTCGAAAAAGAGTTTTCCCTCACAACTCAACTAAATAAAAACAAAATTTGGGGTGTCTAAGACAAGAAAGTCCTTTTTTTTTGGATACTTCAGTTTTCCTTGAACGTATTAAAGCCATATGAAACCTGGCAGACCGATGGCTTCAAATAGCTCCATCACAGTACATTTAAAATCTCATATCTCATGTCTGAGGCACACCCATGGCGCTCGGCTTCAAATGCTCGCTTATTATAGAGCTTGATAGCTTGGGGTTGTGTATACTGTTTGACACATTGGAATGGAAGCCCTTATCAACAAGGGGACTGGACTTTCCATATACATCAGCTTTAAAAAATCCCAAAGTAGTTCAAGTTGCACATCAATTATGGCCTTATGTGGTGGGCGATATGCAGCATGATCTCATGAAAATGCGCCTCTTTAGCACGCATTGTGTTTATCGTGTAATTTATACACGGAAATTTGTTTCTACGTGCATATGATAGGCAGTTTTCACGTGCATATGATATGCACTTTATTGCGTGTAATACATGCGCACTCCACATCAATAATCCTATCCAAATGTATAATACATACGTACCCCACACCACTACTAAACCTACCCATGCGTATCATACTGTATGCATGTAAAAACTAATTTTCGTGTATAAATTGCACGATAAACACAATGGGTCTCATTCATGAAACATTCGTAAATATACGAGTAAATATGCGAGTGATTTGCGCGTAAAGAGACCTTCCCGAAAACTCTTCTCCTGATTCACAAATACTTCGTAAATGTCAGATGTGATAGTGAAATGTGTGTGTGTGTTAATGAATTCCAATCAGTCGTAAATGGGATGCGCGTTCTCAATTACCATAAATCCCGCCCATTACATCCGACTGACAACTATATATGGGCATCATATTATGACATGAATGCGAATAAAAAAAAAATTCTCAGATGCAGAAATTGAAGTTTTATCATCAGAAGTTCATTCAAAACGCCACATTTTATTTTCAAGCGTACATGGCGTATCGGGTCCTAAAAAAAAAGGAAGCTTGGCAGCATATTACAGATGCAGTTAATGGAGTTTCATAATCGAACATTCCCAGAAGTGAGAAGAAAATGGTTCGACATTAAGCTTGAGAGCAAAAAACGAATTAGTTCACTTCGGAAAAATAGTATTCAAACTGGAGAAGGACCACCATCGCAGATGCTATTACTGGCTCTCATAATAAGAAAAACCGTATGTAATTACTATATATAATATTTTTTCAAAATGCTGTGCAAATATGTACCCGATTAAGGTGAATTAAAATGCAGCCTTATTAATGAGCAAAACGTTTGGGTGTTAAGCGCACTATTTACGCGTGGCTGGGAGCAGGTGTAGATTTCTTGTGTACCAACTAACATTTGGAAAATACGAACATTTTAATGAATCCGAAAATTTACGCCAGAACCACTTTACACACGATTTACACAAAAATTCGTTCTGCTCGTGTTTCATGAATGAGACCCAATGAGTGCTATAGAGACGCATTTAGTGTGGCCGAACTTTCCCAGCAAAGTAAGTAAACCTAATAAGTAACACGCCAAATTGGCTAGTGATTTGACAGCGTTACCCGCCACAGTTGATTTTTATCCGCATTTGGCGGGTGTTAATTTCAAACCCTGAATATATGCATAATATAATATAATGCTATAAATGATGTTTAACAATTTTAGATGGTGTATAGCATGTCAAACCAAAGGATGTCAACTTCCCAAAAAGTATTTGATTTGTCACCTAATTCAGCCCAGCTCTATATACCCGTTATTCTTTCAGAATGAAAATTCGTTTCAGCTAGAGCTCAAGAGGTAAGGTGTCCTAAACAACCGCCAAAAGAGCCGCCACCGTGTCCAACTAGCTTCTCAATTATTCAGATGGCTTAAAGGAGGCTCGATAATCAGTGCATGTCTGAGACCGAGAAAAACAGAGAGCATTGAGACAAAGAAGCATAAAGAGAGGAAAGAGAGGGAGACAACATCTTTAAAAGAGCTAAAGAGTGTGAAAGACTGAGATGAAATCAATGGTTGCTGCTGGAGGAAATTTGGAGTGAATTTCCCTAATGGCAGTCCTATTACAAGGGCTCTTTAGCTTGACCCCTTTCCCTCGGCTCGAGGAGCCAGAGCAGAGGCCACGCTCTTTCGCGCAAGCATCTGGGTTGATTGCTGTGGACTCCTCAGGGAGGTGGCAAACTGAAAGGTCAAGTTACTGCAAATAAAGTCTGAAGATAAAGTCAAAGGCCAGGTGTGTTTTTAAAGAGGTGGGCAAACAAACAGAGAAATTTGTTGGATAAATTACCTTGGTGCTATCCCACTCTTGAGTCTTTATCTGAGTGTGAATGAGCTCGTAAGACGGCTCCATGGCGTCCGTGACAGGTTTGTGGTAGCCAGGGATGACATTGTATAGCTGGAAACCAAACGTCACTAGCCAGCTGTTAACATCTGTTGGAAGAGAAATGCTGCAATAAAGTAAACTTACAACAGAGCAAAAGGAAACCGCAAAACACTCACTGACAATGCCTGTATAACAATTTACTCTATTTGGGTGAACTACATTTCAAAAGCATAATTCATTGCAAATCAGGACACATGCCAAGTTAGCTCCTTTTCGAAATAAACTCCCACAGTCATTACAGGCAACAGTAGTTTTAGAGACTGGACTAAATATGATTAATCCTCCACAGGAAGAGCCAAATCTCTCTGATATAATTTCTTCCAGCATGTGAGAAACTCAATGTTTTAGATCTGCTGGTGCACTTGATAATTATACATATTTCATGCTGTGACCAAATGTGTCACCCTTTCTATAATCAGAAAATGTTTTTTTTTGTTTGTATTTGAGCATATTTATAAGCATTAGCATGGATAGCAATATACAGAGAGTATGAACCTTGCCAAAATCAAATATCCTTTTTAGTGACTTTTCCCTGCTGCATCAAACACATTAGACATGGATAGAAGAAACATTACTATTAAGTGTACACGGAGTACTGCTTCTTTATTTAAGGCTGTCGCCTGAAAGAGTTATTTTAAATATGAATATGATTGAGGACATTGAAAGTACCTACTGTACTTCAGAGAGGAATGAAAATGTCAACGCCATCATTTATAAAAGGCTGACGGCCCACTCAAGTACATCTAATATCCAGCCGAATCTTTAGATTTCCTTCTTCAAAGCTAACTTTAATGACATAGGGTGAAACCTAGCGGCTAAGTATTTATCTGAGCTTGAAATACAGCTAGTCCACCATAATATTAGCATACAGATGATATATTAAAATATATATATAAAAATTAGCACAAGCTTGTTTAGAGTATGCCGGTTAGTTCTGGTCTGGTCAGTGTACCAGTGCATACATGCTATTTGCTAGCCAAACTTAGCTGGTAAAGCTAATCAACCAGATTTCCATAAGAATAAACAAATAAAGCACACCAGCATTGCATTTTGAGGAATGGTATAAAGTACACAACATAAGCAAGAAACCAGGCATAGTCTTTTTTTTTTTTAGAGGTGATGTACTGTATAAAAGGTAAACATTGTTCTGGAAAACAATCACGAGGTTCACTTTTGTTGAATCAAAGCTATGGTTTAGGGGCAGGGTTGTTTGCGTCTGAATTCTCAGAGAACAGGGGCTCATCTTGCCACTAATCTTTTCAAGAGGATATGCAAAGGAAATACACAGAGGAAGTCACTTAAAAGACAGCTACTCTAACATAAACAACTGATACGATTCTATAGTATTCATTTCCTTTGGTAGCAAGGGCATGAACCAAGGCTTTGATTTCAGTCAAAAACCAGCATGCATTCACTGTTATAGACTACAAATGTGACTATAATATTTTGTTTTCTTTGAGTAAGGCTGCTATTTCGCTTTCAAGTGGAGAGAAAAGTGAATCAGCCCCTAGCTTCTAGTTCCATGGACCCCTTTGTGTTATTTGTCTAACACTGGGGAGCATTCACCACTATTTACCTCCCGCACAGGCTGAGGAAGCAAAGACTGATGGGATATTTTAAAGGAACAACCTGAATGAAGAACAAAGGGGACTTTGTTGTGCTGTCATTGCTCACAAGCAGTGTTTGTGGAGGCAAGAACACCCCAAGCTGGGGCTGGGACGAGAGCCTGAAAAATAATCACTCTAGTGCAAGGAGGATTCTTGGCACCATGTGCTCATGGTGTTTTAGATTGTTGAAAGTAAAATGTAACATTGAAGTGATTTACAGGCTATTAAATAATCCTCCCAGACTTCGGCCAGAGACGCTGGGATAGGCTCCAGCATCCCTGTGACCCTACGCAGGACAAGGGGTTTGGATGGACGGATGTATTAAATAATGTTGCCCTCACAGTGTGTTTCAACAAAACATTTATAAAAAATGATGTGTTTACCTGTCATATAGCACTTGGTTTCTTGGGTGTTGCTCAGGGGGTTGTTGTTCTTAAACATGTAGAGGTTGAAGGGCACAATGTTGTTGCTGTTGAGCCGCTTCCAAACATCAATGTCAGGTATGGTCCATCGGCCTGCAAGAACATCGTAATCTCTGCGGCCCATGTGGACAAGCTTTGTAAGGGGCTCATAAAGGCCACCCTGGTAGCCTATCACTAGCTGGAAGCTTGGGTTGGAGTCCAAATACACCTCCCCAAAAGCTGTGTGCAGGATCTGTTTGATCATGAGACCGGCACCACTGAATACGGCCAACGGTGTACCAATGTTGTCGCAGGCCACGTAGAACTCATCCCCACTGCTCAACTCCATGGCAAAGAGGTGGCCCTGAAGGTCATAGTAGAGCGAGGTGATCTCTGAGCTTGAGTGATTGTACATGTGCGTGACTCTGGTGGGACTGGACAAGTCTGCGTAGAAGAATTGCAGATGGTGGCCTTGGCTACTTCGACTGGAAACTCTCCTGCCCAAGCCATCATAGCGGTACTTGATGGTCCATCCGTTAACTTTGTTGTAGACTTTAACAAGCAACCCGGCAGAGTTATACTCAAAGAAATCATTGCCTCTCTGCCTGAGGAATCCATCCTCGTCCAACCGGTACTGAACGTCACCTAGTCGAGTAATGCGGTCCCGAATATCGTAGCGTAGTGGTGTAAGTCTGGCACTATTACCGGGACTAAGGAGGTGCAAATTTCCATTCAGGTCATAGCTGTAACGCCAGAGAGGCTTGTCGTTGATGGACACCACCTGGAGTTGGCCATCAGCATCGTACTCGTATGTGTAACGGGTGGTATTTGCATAGGGCCCGACTTTAAGCTCCTTTGCCACCACTCGCCCCATGTTGTCGTACTGTACCATCATCCAATACATCAGCGAACGGAAAATCTCATACTGTACCTCTTTAACTCGTCCATAGGCATCAAAGTGTTTTGTGTGGGTCATGACAGCTGTGGTAATGATCTGGTTAATATCATAGTAGATTACTCCAAACTTGCCAAACTGCTCCGTTTTGCCTGAGACATCATCGTAGCGATAGAGGTCAATGGGCAAGGGGGTTTCATTGATGACTGCTTGCATGCTGGTGACCCGGAAGCTGTTGTCGTAGTTGTAGTCGAACCGGGCGTTCACCATGCCCTCCTCACTGAAACGAAAGATCTGTCTGTCGATGAGCGGTCCAATCTGCCTGTAGCGTATGGTACACGCAAAGCCATCGCTTTGAAGCCCCACGGTTTTCAGCATGCCTGCAGATTCATCGTAAGAAAAGGCGATCCGTGTTGTATCGTAAAGTATTTCTAGCAGACGGGAGAGTTTCCCATACTTATAGATGACTCTACGCCCCGTTCCTTGGTGGATGGTTTGCAGAAGCAGTCCTTCTTCGCTGTAATCTTGCAAAACTGTGGCATTGCCCTCAGGTGGTCTGTATGTGTTTCTGTAATAGCCAACGGAACGGGTGGTCTCCAAGGTCTGTCTGGCCACATTGGGCATGGTTACTGAAGAGAGCCGGTCATTCTTGTCAAACTCGAAGATGTATTGCCGCTGGCTGTATAGCAGCAGCACCATGGACTGCCAAAGGAAAATGACAAAGCGATGTTCAGTAAGCTGATTTAATGAAGCATTGTAATTCCCAACACATTCTGAGAGCACTCCAAACAGTTAAATTTGAAATTCTACACCAAGGGAAACTGAAGGTCACTAAGTACCCAGGAGTCATATTGCACCACACGACTAAATGCACAACAAACTGTAGGGTGTCACAGAATCACTTCAGGGTGAATAAAAATTACAAATATGCCGCTCTACAACACTGACAGAAAAATAAAGAAGGGAAAAATCTCATTAAGTCATCATACACCCCACCCCAAGTTTCGATACCATTTTTAATAATGTCCCCTAACATGGAGGTTAGTGGGAAGATATACTGGAGTTTATATTTCAACAGGAAGCAGCTCTTCTTATTTTTTTTACTTTGAGGCTATTGATCTAATCAGCACATGGTCATTTTAGAATTGCAAGAAACATTAAATAGAGTGAGTTTAGGGCTTATAATCAATACTTTTAAACCCAAATTACACTGTAAGGTCTTGCATTTCTCAGATATTGGTTCTAATTATCAAGACAGTGTCTTTTGTGATATTTTAAGAACGAGGAAGCTGTCAAGCTGTGTGCGGTAACAATGCATAACACAAGCTGACATTAGAAAAGAAACATTGCTGAAGCAATGCAAGGTTAAAGCTTATTAATGTAACAAATTAATAGGGTTCAACAAAGAGAACTCTACAGAAGATAATTATTTTTTAACCTTATAATTTTCTAGATAAAGATGTTTACTTTTTCAAGGTATGTGTAGCTCCATGACTTTCCATCTGCAAATATCTTTGAGATGATTCTCCCATTTTGGTCATATTCCATTCGGACCGACATAGTGCCCCTCTGGATGCCGGCGATGTGGCCGCCAGGTGAGTAGGTTACATTAACACCGTTTAGCCGACTACTTGGAGCCCACAATGTAGGTCTTCCGGCATGGTCATAGTGGATCCTTAGGGTGAACTTCCTGTGGTCATCATAGACTTTCTCGGTCCTGGTTACACGGTCAAAATCCATGGATAACAAGTTCCTGTTATGAACCTACAAAAAAACAACAACAACAACACAGAGATAGGAAGATTAGGCTTCTGAATTCAACATGTGGACATGGCAAGATGCAGTGTCTTCTCTGAAACTCTCATTACGAGGACACAAGCTTTTTAATTAATCGATTTCTTTGTTTGTTTCATGTTAAAACAAATATAATGAGAGAAGCGCTCTGTATAATCCTTTGCCATGCCTTTAAGGATGGAATTATTGAGGGGTAGACAACTTTAATTGTATTTGCAGGAGGAGGAAAAAGATGACACTTTTCATCTACGTTTAAAAATTCAAAGCCCACTACACTGTTTAAATGACATGTCATACTGAGTTTTCAGCTCAGTTCGAATGCGCAGACCCCCCTGACCCCGGCATATGCTGAGATCAGAGCTGAGAACTAGTCCTACATGGCTGGTAATCCCAAAGGCACACACAGGTCAATGCAGGGGGGGAATACAGGATTTAAAGACCTCAATACCTTCAACTCTTGGTACAATGAATTGGAACCTTTATTTCTGTGATATGAATTTAGATATTGGTGGGTAAGATTAACAGTTAGCAATTAATAATTAACAGGCCATGAAAGAATCTACACTTTTTCTGCGAATTTCACATACAGTTAGCTATTTTTAGTTACTTTTCTATATTTAGTAGAGGAAGCATAATAAAATTGGCAAAAATTTGTAATAATAAGCATGCTTATTTGTTGGAACAAAGCATGATTTGAAGCCATGGAATGAATGCAAACTCTAAATATGCCTTAAAAGTTTCTTCTAAGGCAGATTTAGAGTCTGTATTTGTGCCAGCTGTTTTTTCCCCCAATCCAAGCACACCACTTTGTGGTATTATGGCTAAAGGGTTGAACAACTATTGACTAAATAACCATCTGGAAGTTTGGGCCAAGCAGACTTTAAAATGCATTATAATCAAATACTCATTTCCCCATATCTCTTCTCTATGTAATGTCTCCTTGATTGATTTCGATTTTTCTCATCAGGTACGCTGGCAACCGGCTTTACTCAGTGCTGGCAAAGCTTAACAGAGTCTTAAAGTGATTTTGTGAGTTGTTGTTGGCTTTGGTCCAGTGGTATGGCGGACGGGGGGAAGAGCAACAAGCAAGCTCTCTCTCTTTTTCTCTCCTCCTCGTGGGCATGCTGGGAGCTCTCATCTGTGAAGGGACAATTACACTGGGGCCAATTAATGTCACTAATACCTAATTGAGAGGATTATTTTACATTAAAAGCAAGCAGCTCATGAATAGGAGAATTCCGGTGGGGGTGACAGAACAAAGAGGTTGACAGAATAAAGGGCATATATTTTTCCCTCCCCATTCCTTTAAGCATCACCCACCCACTGATATGCACACGGCCCCCATTTTTCTCACTCTCACTTTGATCTGGCAATGCAGAGATTGAGAATACTCACATCAGTAATAATAACTGTTTTCAAACAGGTTTTCAAAACATTATATAGACAGGGAGAATGTTTGGAAAACCTGTTTGAAAACAGTTATTATTTCTGCTATTCCGTTTGGTTAGGCAATTCACTTAAGTATTATTTACTACACGTTCCAATGCTTTTATGGCTCTAAGGATGGGGGGACTTGTGTCAAGGGCCGATTTGTCCAGTGTAGAATGACAGGGGACTGAAGCGACAAGCTTAAGGAAAAAAATGAAGAGAGATTGAAAGGGAAGGCTGGCTGCTCATGCCAGGCTCTGGTTGAACAGAGGCCCAACGGGCTGGAAAAAAAAGCTCTTTTGGCAGAGAGATCCTGGGCCTCTGGAGAATGGAAACCCACTCAAGGGGAATGTCTTAAATTGGACATTCCTTTAAACGGGCTCAGCACTGGGAAAGCAGATATGATGGGAGGAAGGGGATCGAATTGGGGCAGGGTGGGAAAAAGAGGGGTTTGAAAGAGTGTCTAAGTTCCCCCTCATAAAGGACATCAAGACAAAAGTGGGGTGTATGTTAATAAGGCACATGTCAACAGCATTTACAAATATTTTAATCTGGCTAGTGTTGTCAAAAAACTCGGTACTTCGGTACCAAGTCGGTACTAAAAAAAATTAACGGTTACGGTACCAGCTTTTCTAGGTACCGAGTACCGGGTTAATACGGTTCTTGATGCGCTGTCCGAAAGGTGCAGAGTTGCGTCCTCTTCATAAAAACACTGAGACATGGCGACCGGCGGCGCTGCTAATGCGGTGGCTCTGAATCCACTTGTTGACAAGAAAGGAGGAAAGAGCCACATATGGAAATATGTTGAATTAGGCTAATGTCACGTTGCCATAAAGGCCCGTTCACACGTTCACTTAGCACGTTTTTTGCGCGTGCAAATTGTAACTGTGATATACACTTTAATATATGTAAATTTTATCTAAGCTTTATTAAGCTTTGGTACCGAAATTGGTACCGAGAACCGTGGATTTTCACTGGTATTGGTACCGAATACTTAAATTTTGATACCGTGACAACACTAAATCTGGCACTAATTTAGATGCTTATAAACAGAAATCACAAACAGCAAGTTGATCACAGAAGACTGGAGTAATGATGTACCAAAAATAACCTAAAAGTTATTGTTCGTATATTTCACACACTATTGGGGAATGTTAGACAGACCCGCACCATGTTTCTTTGACAGCCGAATTAAATTTGCATGCTTTGCTGATCAAAGTACAACTTCTTTGAGATTATCCGACTCCTGTTTGTCAAACAAACAATGATTAATACTAGGAACATAAAACAACACTTTTTTCCATAACTCGACTAATTATGAGAATATCTTAGGACTGTCACTAATGCACTTTTTGCCAATGAATAAACAACTTGTAAGTAACGTTTGTTTTCATTAATCACCATCAATAATTGAAAATTCCATTCCATATTCAAAAAGTAAACAAATCTGTCAAACAACATTTGATTTTCTTCTCCACTGTCATTAAAAATGTATTCAAGTTTTTGTTCTTCCAATCCAATATTTACTTGCCGCTTTGCCATTCATTTCTAATTTTTCCCCCCGTCCGCTGCTGTGGTAAGAACTGTAATCTTGTTTGCTCAGTGCGATTTGTCGCTTCCCTTAGTAAACACACTTGCCCACGAGTTCGCTTTGTTTGTTTGGAGGCAGAATAGGACACCGTTCTAATAATGTAAAGCAAACATTTAGAGAACTGTCAGTCGAGGCCTTGTGTTTAAGCCTTCAGTGGGTTTTTGGATTTGGGCTCGCTGTGAGAGGAAAATCTACACTACTATTTCCAAAGCTCTGTTGTTGTCAGGAGATGTAGTTGCTATGGAGACAAGGATAATTTTGGTGGCCTGGCAGCTGTTCCTGATAGTGTGCAGTAGCCACTGTGAAGGACATGTGACCACAGCAATACTCCGGGCTGCTAGTGACCCACATTTCCATTAGGGTTGGGTACAAATTTAACAATTCAATGGATCGCTGTGCATCACAATATCATAAACGGATCTCTATTAGCTTTTGTCCAGTGCGACGCTTCATAGATGCTTTATTAATTGAACTGTGGGAAAGTATATGATTGCACGCATGGAAAAATGATTGAAATCACTGTAATAATTCCCATATTTGTGTGATTCAATTTGAATCACTCTCTTTTCTGCCTTTTTGTCAGCTCGACAAACAGCCTCACTCCCTCTCTCTCTCTCTCACACACACATACACTTTTTGACACAATCTGACACATTCACCCACTCATCCACCCATGAAATATCGCTTGACATGTCACTCAAGGTCGCTCGATGATTTCAGTAGTACACAAATCATGTAAACGAGTTAAATCCCATGATATAAATTAGATTCCATAGTTCAATTTTATACAAATTAAAATAACTGTTTTCTATGCAAATATGTCATTTATTCCTGTGATGTCAAAGCTGAATTTTCAGTATCATTATTCCAGTCTTCAGTGTCACATCATCCTTCAGAAATCAGTCTAAAATGCTGATTAGATGCTCAAGTTGCTTATCAATTTTGAAAACAGATGTGCTGCTTCATATTTTTGTGGAAACCATTATACATTTTTAAGGATTCTTAGATGAATAGAAAGTAGAACAGAATCGATTTGAACTATAAATCTTGTGCAGCATTATAAATGTCACTTTTGATAAGTTTAATGTGTCCTTGCTGTATAAAAAGTATTAACTGCTTTCAACAAAAACTGCACTTTTGAAGGGTAGCGTGTACATAAATGCTCATATATCATCTTGCAAAAGCTGTGAGGTGGTCCCATTTCTAGTAGCACAAGAATTATGAAGATATCAGATGCGGTCTGAAGAAACCCTCAGGGTTTTGATCACGAGAGAGTCAACCTTGCCCTAGGCTGTGACCCCAGCCCTCAGGGTCAGAGAAAATGGCTGCTGAATGATGAATAGTCCACTGAGACACAGACACACACATGCTCACATGCATGAGCTGACCTTGGGAAGCAGATTCTTGACCAGTACGGCCTGGCCAGACTCTACAGGGCAGGCGTAATAAGAGTGATCCGTCTAAAGGACAGGCGCAGCGTGTGTGACTCAGACTGATGACAAGAGGCAATAGAGATTATAATCATGAAGCAATTACTCCAAGTACAGGAGCCTCGATGCTCAGATGAGCTGCTGCGTGGAGGTGTGACTGCGAGGTATGGAACTGTGCCTGCGTAAAATTAACTCAGGATGAGCAGATGACAACGTCGAGGTAACGCTGGGGCCTGTGCGCAATTACCTGCCTACGTGAGCTTCTGATAGAGTAAGTGTTGCAAAACACCACGAGCAATTCCACATTTCACAAATAAAAATAAAATACAAATGCATTATGAAAATGAAAAGAGTATGCAATAGGAATAAGGAATAATTCATTTTAGTTTTAAGATATTAAGGGCCAGATTTACAAACAGCTTGCATCAGTGCAAACCCTCTTTTGGCGTTAAAAAACTACTGTCAGGATATTTTTGCTTCTGACCTTATTGCATATGCGTTTGTAGGAGTTTCCCTTTCAGACTCAAAATTCATGGGAGGAGAGTATTTGAATGAATCATGCAAGGTGATTTACTAAGGTTTGCGCTAATCAATTTACTGGTATTTGCGCCACTATTTACCGCCCCGGAAAAAAGCACGTCTTAAACCAGACGCTAATTTGCGCTGCTCTGGGTAGATTGCGTTGGTCATTATGGAAATGATCTGACTGGATCTGTGTTCTTTAATGTGCGCGTCGTCAGTAGATCATGCACAGAACTTTCCACTGGCATCGGCGCTTTTATGGGATTGCGCTCTCACGCTAATTTGCCCTGTTTAGTAAATCCCGGGCCTAAGTATTGCAACAAAACTAATAATGTAAAAGATAAATATAATAACATTGTGACTGATATTTATTACATTAAACCCTAAATACATACTTTTAATGTCAATGACTACAGCCATAGATTACATTGACAATGTAACTGCATACATTTCAATTTTGCAGGGATTTGTTTTTCATTTCTGTTAGGTGTTGTTTACGATCAAATTCTTTCTCAATTTTGTTCAACTCAATGTCTGTAATGTTAAATGTCAGATTAGATCATGTTTCTTTTAAAGACAATCAGAAATACAACTTTACAAGATTCGATTTTTTTTTTTGTAAATTGCTTGAGATAAAATCATCTTCTAAATTCATTTCTAATGATTTGGCCTTGGATGTGTTTTCTGTGTTTCACAAATCTCATAAATTTTTGTTAAATGAGTCTACATTACTTCCACATGCTAATATATATATTTTAAAATTTAAAATATTTAAAATATATATATATATATATATATATATATATATATTTATTTTATATTAGCATATATATATATATATATATATATACATACACACACACACACACACACACACACACACACACACACACACACACACACACACACACACACACACACATACATATATTTTGCATATTGTCTTTGCGTTTAGAACCTTTCCCAGTAACAGCACAGATCTGCCAGCATTTTCCAAATATTAAGGCCCTGAAATTCATGTACAAATAAGAAAACAAAACTGTCAAATGTAATCCGCATTAAATGTGGAAGTAAATTCTGTGACTTTCTTACCCTGAGTCTGCGTCCATACACTGTGACCTGTCCTCGAGCCTGTTCTTTGCGTTGTCTCCATTCCACTAGGTTGAGTCCATTGTCGATGGGCAGAGTAACATTTCTCTTGCTTATGGTTGGGTTGACTGTTCCTGACAGCAGGTGAGGCTCCGTGTGAAGAGACACTTCCATGCCGTTGGCCAATACCAGACGCAAGGAGCCATCCAGACCAATGTAGTAACTGTTTTTGACTTGATCTACGATTTAAAGGCAAAAAATAGTCTCATGTATATTGCAAAAACATCTTGAGAATTGCTATTCGAAATTCTGTTAAAGGAGATCCCTTATAAATGAAAAATCTGTCATCATTTTGACATTTACCCACCCTGGCATAGTAAAGCATCAGTAAATGCTAAAAGAATTCACCCCAAAATGAAAATTGTCATAATTTATTCAGCCTCATGTTGCTCCAAACATGTATGAGTTTCTTTCTTCTGTTGAACACAACATAATATATCTGAAAGAATATGGGTAACTAGACAGTTGACGGTAGCCATTCACTTCCATTGTATTTTTTTTCTACTCTGGAAGTCAATGGCTACCATCAACTGTTTGATTACCAACATTCTTCAAAATATCTTCTTTTGTGTTCAGCAGAGGAAAAAAAACGTATACAGGTTTGGAACAACTTGAGGGTGAGTAAGTGATGACAAATTTTTTATTTTTGTGTGAACTATAATTTTAACTATGACTGATATCCACCCTTTTGTTGGTTACATGCTGTATTTCCCTCAAAATGGCCAAATTCATGGCTAGACTCTTGTTTGTTGAACAAGACCAGAAAGTCAGTGTAACAAAGGGATGATTCAAAGTCTAGTTAGGCTTTGAGCTGTCCTCGGAAGACCGAAAGAGAGAGCGAAAGAGAGGCAGAAAGCTATCATAGCTGAGGCCGCCTGCCTGTGGCAACTGAGATGCAGCTAAATCTGAAACTGTCCGTCTCCATCCCCAGGTGGTCTCGCTAAGCGCTTTGGAGGGACATGGTGGATGGAAGACAGTGAAAAGAGAAGGGGGTGTAAACCTGAGAGAAATAAAGAGGGAAGACAGAGACTGGGAGGAAACGAGAGAGAGACAGCTAAAATGAGAAAATGTCAGTGAACGCTTTGATGAAACTCTCATTACTAGTCAAAGGGAATTAATTACTCAGCAAAAGAAGTGCAGACAGCAGCCATGTAAACAGCTAGCATGTGAAGCTAACATGTTGCTATGGGGGTACAGGACACTCTTATTCTCTGTTAAAAATGAATTGAATAACATTTAGAAAGAAATTATACTATTCCAATGACCGGAAACGAAAGCCTGATTGTCTGATGAGAGTTTGCGATAGACAACAGCAAGTCTTTTTAAGACAAGACACAATACGTACATCTAACTTTGTTAGCAACGACAAATTTCCAAAAGTGTTTGTTGTCTATGTTAGAGTATAAAAAATACACATGTAAAAGTAATTGCACAATTGTAACTATTTCTAGTAAACACAACTTTAATTGTCACAATGTGACTTTATATCTCGTAGTTGTGACTTTTTCTAGCAGTTGAAAATTCATATCTCAAATCACTCAAATCACGCTAAAAATCCTGGTTGTCTGTTTTTAATTGAAAGGCAAGACTTCCCTTCTTAAAGCCTGCATATATTGAGAGATTTCTACCAATTATTTTTCCAAAAGTAGTCCGTCTTGTCCTCTTTATATTGTCTGTGAAGACTGAGTTTGTGTGAACCAGATCATATTATTGTCAAATACATAAGCAGCTCTGGCATGTTCGTCTTTTGATGACTTATTCGGGTAATAATATTGGTGCGCTGAAAAAAGCTCTGACCGTACGACCTGGAAATCGAACACACGCACTCACACAACCTTGGAAAGTCAATAAACAGCACAAGGTCACCACCTTCGAGAAATGCATATCCAGATTGCGTGTGTGAAACTCTGTGTTGGAGCTAGAGCCAAACTGGTTTCCGTTTACAAAGCAGACAATAGTGAATTAATTAGCAGCAAAGCGTTTGGCAGGGCGCCCTCTTTCTCTCTCTCCACCAGATGTCCTGGACAAGGTCACCATGCATAGGTGACCATTAGTTTAGTCTAGGATAACAACACCAGCAGAACTTTACGCCCTCTATTTTCTTTTCTCAGACGCAGTCTTCAGTAAACCAATCGAAACCCAGGGGAGTAGGACGGCCCTTCAAATCAAACGCTCACAGGAGCGCAGAAAAATCTTTACAGTTTCTCAGGAAATAGAGCAGGGCACAGGGAGTTCAAAGCTATTTATTGGGAATCGATGGAGTGCTTGGTTAGGTGAAAAACTGGATATCAAAATGCCAAAGAATGCAAGGAAAATCACAAGCTAGGACGACGGCCCCTGACCCCAACCACACCCCTCTGTCTCGAGGGCCAAAGTGATTAAGATTTGGTTTCCTGAGACGGACAGGAAAAGCAGACGCTTGGTGAAAAAGGGAGGCTGGAACAAACAAAAGTGGTGGACAGGAAATCAATCAGGACTTCTGTCTTCATGAGTGGGCGGTCTTGCGATTTTAGAGAAAATACAAACACTCATGCCTTCATTGATTTTTACGAAGAGGCTTGTTTGCTTCCCACAAACACATCAATTTTGCCTCATAGTTATTTTACCTCACGTACAGCTACTAAGTTTCTTGTGTAAAAATGAACAAAAGAAATATTTGGAGACCTGTTCCTTTGTTGCCTTTACTCACCCTCATGTCGTTCCAAAACATTAAAAACAGATTGAAATACACACTTCAAAAATTTGGGATCAGTAAGATCAGGTTTTAGAAGTCTCTTATGCTCACCAAGGATGCATTTATTTGATACAGTAAAAACAGTAATAATGTAAAGTATCATTACAATTTATTTAACCGGTTATTGAGTTTAATTCAAACTCAATGATTCAGTCACAGCGTTAACAAAGTCACAAAGTCATAACTACTTTCATCATGATTAATCTCATATTTGGAGCTTAACAAGTATGGTCACATCATACAGTTTTGGTCACATCATACACTTTTAAAAACACACTTGTTCTCTTTGGCCTACAAATAAGGTGCATGTACAGGTATATATATGTGTATATGTGTACATATATGTGTGTGCATGTATCTATATATATGGGTGTATATATAGACGGTTTCATCGAACGCACGCGCGTTGCCCGGGTTACGCGCTGGCCCGAAGTTAACTTCCGGTCTGTGTTTGTTAACCGGTAATATCTGGTAATATGGCGCCGACTACAAACGCAGTGAAAATTAAGGTGATGAGCAGACTGAAGTTGGGCTCAGGTTGTTGTGTTGTGGGATGCAACCTGAGGCTCTGGGACAAATACCTTATCAAAAATAAAAAAATTCGCATTCCTAAAAACGAAGGGAGACGGCGAGCGTGGATCACCGCTGTGCGATGAGAGGCTTGGCAGCCAGGCAAGAATTCAAGGATCTGTAGCACTCACTTCGTTACAGGTAACAAACTCATGATAAGCAACAGATAATTATGGAAGCTTGTTTCCGGCCACTGAAGAATAAAAAAATAATAATAATTGCAACTTTTTATCTCATAATTGCGAGATAAGAAGTCAGAATTGTGAGAAATAAAGTTGCAATTCTGAGAAATAAAGTCGCAATTGCGAGAAAAAAAGACAGAATTGAGACTTTTTATCTCACAAAAAGTCTATGGTTTCTACAGATGAACTCTGTTGTTATTGACTCTACCGGAAGTTAAGTTTGGGCCACAAAAGCGCGCATGCGCAGTAACGTTTGTTTATGTTGTTGCCGTTGAAACCGTCTATAGATATATTTATTTATTTTTTTTTTTTAATTTTTTTTTTTTCTATTCTATATTTCTCTCCTGCTTTGAGTATGATACTAGTATTAAACCTGTTACTGTCTTCTCTGTTTTATTTTCTACTACTGATAGTCTCTGAGACTTCTTGAAGGTCTCCCGATTTAAGCTGTTCTTAACCTGTTGTACTGTTCTATGATGTGCTACTACGCATGGTGTTGGTGTCTTTTAATTTTGTAGTTCTGTGAAGCACTTTGGTCAGTCAGTGGCTGCTATAAAATGTGCTATATAAATAAAATGAACTTGAACTTGAACTTTTGGAATGACATGGAGGTGAGTAAAATGATGACAGAATTTCATTTTTTGGATTGAATTGCATTCATTGTGTCTAGGTTAAGACTTCACCCAATTCCCAAGTATTGTCCCCAGGGATGTGTTGAATAAGAGCTTAGCAGATATTCTTACCTTGCATGAGTGTGTAGAAGGTTCCTGAGGCCGAGAGGTTGGTGGTGACTGTGATGTCCTCTTTGTTGGAGCCCTCGGTTTGCACCCGCACAGTGCTGTCTGAATCAGTCCGGTAACTACTCACCCTGCCTGTGGGGTAGGTCATGTTTGTCAGACGCCCATAGTTGTCATACCTATGAAGATAGAGAGAACAGGGAAGGAGTGTGAAAAAAGATGCCTTAGCGGGTCTTTAATGAGACCAACTGTGGCTTTCAATCGAATGCAGGACTGGGTTTCTAATGAGAGACTGTCAAAGTGAGTTGTACAAGCAAGAGGAAGGAAAAATGTAATTGTAGAAAAACATACAATTTTGGCCTATAACGGAAAAAGGTTGAAGGTACTTTCTGGCTTTTTGGAACCGTTTGCCACTGATTTTAGTGCAGTACCACAAAAATAACACTTCAACAGAATGTCTATTTTTGTTTTGGTCTGTGTGATCCTGCCCACTGCCAGTTCACCCAACAATACTATTGACACCCCTGGTTGCCAGTTGGTGGGAAACACAGCATATTGTAGCCATGGAAGCCAGCGAACGAACTGGGTCAGAGATTCAACCCGACCTAAAAAGCCTCGGCAACCATCTAAAGATCTCTGTGACCAGAGGCATATTAAAACGCGGATAAATCAACACATCAACTTACAGTGTAAGTGCTAGTTCCCTTTCAATAGCCCCTTTCACACATACAGTCTTTACTGGTAAATTACCGGTAAGAGATCATGTGTGAACAAGACAACGGCGTGGTGTTTAAGTATCACTTCCGATGACTGTCATCGCAGAATTGACCTGTATTTTGGAGCTGATGTGTGAATTGTCTCTTACCGGTAAAAAGCCAGAACGCCGTTGCTTGTGTGAACAGCATATTTGTGTATTTACCGGTAAAGTCATTCTGGCAATTTTACAGGGATTGCTGTGTGAAAGGGGCTATTGTCAATTGCGCTTTTTCCTGTTGCATGTCCTCAATCTGGCAAACCACATGAGGAGGAGAGGACGGGGAATCAACTCTCTGTAATATTTTGTATTTAGACTGTAGTCCCAATTTCAACCACTAGCTGTCAATATTACATACTGCACCTTTAAAGGGGTAGTTAACGAAATATTACACTTCTTCAGTCATCATTAACCCTCATGTCGTTCCAAACCCAAATGCCTTCCTTTCTTCTGTGGAACACAAGGAGATATTTTGAGAAATAAATGTTTGGTTCCTAACTCATTCTTCAAAATATCTTGTTTTGTCTTCCGCAGTATAAAGTCAGTCATATGAGTTTGGAAAGATATGATGATGAGAAAATGACAGATATTTCATTTATGTGTGAACAATCCCTTAAGAACACGACTACTTTGGCTTCAAACCAACCATCGCAAACAGCTACAGTCAAATTCCTTGGGCAATCTGAAATGGGCAATCTAAAATGGCTTGGTTCTAAAAATAAAATGCAATATGAAAATTTAACAGAGAGAGAACCACAAACAAAAACCACTAAGATCTTCAAAGCTAATATCTGATTTGTTGGAGATACTTATTTATTCACACAATATCACTGGGATTCGAAACCAAGATTTCCTGTTTATCACACAGATGTTTTGGCCATCTAAACCGTGGTACCAACATCACAGGCTCTACACATTGAAGAAAATTCACTGTGCCATAGAAAGAATGAAATGAGTCTCCTCTGTTTTCATTTGTAGTGGCAATAAAGAGGTGAAAGACAAAAAGCATATCATATTTTGCTGCTACCTTTTTCAAGAAGAATAGAAATAAGGTTGGGCGGTGACAAAAAAACAGAGGAGCGAATGACTGCAGTCGAGTCGACCCACTATGGTTTTGTTCTGTTCTTTGGCAAGCAAACTAAATTATTCTGTTTTGCTCTCCTACTTTGTTCCTTTCCTCCCTATATTTTTTATTTGCCAGCCTCCACGTGAGCGCTCTCAGCAGGCTGAGTGTGCAGTAAGTGCAGACTGATTTATCTTGGTGACCAAACATCTCCTTTTAGAGTAGCAGTCTATTGTAGTCATGGAGAACTGACCGCCTCAAAGCACCCAGGGATTGGAGTTGGTCAAGATGTACCACTGAGTCACGGCCGATGTTCACATTGTGTACACAAAAACACGGGAAGAAAGCACTCGTAAACAATCATGTGAATGTCTATATCTGTCTAAGTCCCTTAGTAGTAGTTTTTTTCTTCTTTTTCTTTCTTTACACTACCGTTTTTGAAAAAAGTATGTTCACCAAGGCTGCATTTACTTGATTAAAATACGAAAAAAATATTTTTACTGACCCCAAACGTTTGACTGGTAGTGTTTCTTGAGAACATGAGCATACAGTATTTACATCTAAATGATGTGGGATGTGCACTGTGGATCGACGCTTTAAAAATTATGAATTAATTATGAATTATTGTACGACTGCTACTACTACTACTACTATTTTTTAATGTATATAGCACTGTTTCCAAAGTTCAAGGACACTTTACAATTAATTAGGTTAATTTAGATTTAGAAAAAACTTACCAATTAGAAATTTAACTAATATAATAATAAATTTTGTGGAAAGCTCAACAATAACTAATAATAAAACATTTTAAAATATATTTTAAAATCCTGTAAGGGAACTATTTTCTTACGTGTATTCAGTAAATACTAATGCTTATACGTGATTTATGTTGTTAATTTTGCATGAGGCACAGATATTACCATACATCAACTTTTTAAGTGACCATGGTAAAAGAAAGTAGGAGGCCTTATGATAAACTTTTACATTTATCAACTTTTGATCTTAAAAATGTATTAGTAAATGTTGAAATTAACAAACTAATAATAATAAATGCTGTAGAAGTATTGTTCACTGTTAGTTCATGTTAACAAATTAAAGTTTTATTTTCTTACTTTTTCATACTGATTTATTTTTACAATTAAATGCCCTGATTTTATTTTACAGGTGAATTTCAACCGCAATACCATCATTTTTAAAGCTTGAAAGCCTCAATATCTGTTTATTGGAATTGATGGAAAAGAGCGCCCAGGGCATTCTTCAAAATTTCTCCTTTTGTGTTTCATATAAGAAAGTAAATCATACAGGTTTTTGAGGGTGAATAAATTATGACAGAACTTTTTTTTTGAGGTGAACTAATCCTTTTAAGGTAGCTTTGATATCATTTCAAATGTTATTTTATTAAGTTTTAAGAATGCAGGCATTCCACAATTAGTAATCCATTTGAATCCATTAAAATCCTTTTTTTTTCATTTGTTTCATTTAGCAGTGCTGGGTAAATAACATAAAAACTGTAATCCTTAATAATAAATACAAATTACATGATGGAAATTTTAGTTTTTTAGTTACATTACACATTTTAAGTAATGTAATCTGATTACTAATTACTTTTGACCTAACTCTCATCACATTGATTTGAATAGAGTAATCCCTTAAAATACTGATAATATACTGTATATATTGTAAAGAGAAAGAAAATGTATTCCACTGTTATCAAACTGGGGTTTGTTAAGGAACTGCAGAGGGTTCATATATTGATGAATTAAAAAAATAAAAATAAATCACTTGCTAAATTTTTTTTACGTATGCTTTGTGGGCTCTCAATTTTTAAGTTCCACAAAATTGGAAGACTTTCCAAACATATATAAGCAATAGGCTTTTATTAGGAAAAATTGAAAAGATAAAATTAGGAGAATTAGATGGACATGGTAGCAAATGTCTTTGTTATGCTTGTGCTACTCGCTGTGCAGTGTCTGCACGAGTCCTGGCCGATGTAGTGTCCGCAGGCGAACACGCTTCACTGGGACTTAATGAATTCAGGTGGCAGAGATGATAAACCGCATGTGCCGCTCCTCGCAGCGAGCAGATAAATTGTTTAGGTTGCTCTATTCCAGTGCAGTACAACAGTGACTTTGACCCTCAGATGACAGCTTGACCTTCAAAGTTAATTATGCAAAATATAACATCATATTACAAAAACAAAAACTCAACAACCAAGCTTTCTTTATCACCAAAGACGACCTCATGTTGCCTGAGGGATTGGATGGATCTAATTGCTTGGGAAGGGGGAAAAAAACAACAACAGAGCGACTTTTCTTGATGTTAATTATTGTTTTTTCTTTCTCTCTAATTGCAATTATTGAGTAAATGTACTTTGCCTGCCATTTGTTCACTTGGCAAAGGGAGATTAAACAAATGATATGACAGCATGGGACCTAAACAAAGGACAACAACTTGAACTTTCTTGAAAAAAGGACTGCTTAAGGCGATGCCACTTATGGTTGGTTATTTATCAAATATGCAGCATTTGTACAGTACAAGCAAACAATGTGTGTGAAGTAGTTTTAAATGAGTTTTGCCTAAAGTCAAGGTCACACGAAAGTAAAAATGCTAATGAATACGCTACATAAGTATTAATGTAAACATTTTCTGTTCTGCTATACAGACTGAGGGTCAAGATGTAGTAATAAGGATTCCATTTACGGTAGTTAATCTGGAATCAGTTACAGGAGCGTAGTGAGTGGGCCTATAAGCATATCTAAAATTTTAACTGGTAATAGGTATAAAATAGTAAACTTGATGAATAGCTGTCATCTTTACATTAGCAAGTGGGAATTACTGAGTGGGCCTGTGTCTATCCCTGACTACCCACAGTTACACGTTACACAAGTTATAACTGATGCAAAAACAGGACTTATTAAAATCATGGGTACAAAAACAAATGGAGCTGAACATATGTGCCACTGGTCGACACTGATCAATTTTATTTGAAAAATATTGAAGGTTAGACAGGAACACCACTGTCTGAAATACTCCTGAAACCAATTACCTTACAGCACATGACTGAAGTCCAATAAACCACTGAGACCTTGTGAACTCTTGACTGTATCTACTGTAACATGACCCACACAGCCAACCAAGACCTTTGCATTACGCTGCGCAGGAGTAAATTTAGCTTCCTGTAACCAAGTGAACCGGCACTGTGAACTACGCAGAGATGAATGTGAATCTTTGTGGGCTGCCAAACACTGATCATCTTTTTGCTTGAATAAATATAAAAGATTGTGACATTGTGGGTATTGAAAGGATGACACTTTTTAAAATGTAGTAATTACCCTTAAACATTTCATATTAATAAAAAAAAATTATATAAATAATAACTTAATTAATAATAATAATATAAATTACTATCATTCTTGCATATTTAGTGTATTGTACATTTAATAATCCATAACAATCTAAATATTAATGTTAAATACAGATAATTTATTACATATAATATTAAGATTATATAAGATTATCAGCATGTATGATGTAAACGTAGATATTTTATTTGTGTATTTTATGTAATTAGTATCTATATGTATACATATGTATATACTGTGTGTGTGTGTGTGTGTGTGTGTATATATATATATATATATATATATATGGTGTATTCTGCACTTTATGCCCCATGTATGGAAAAATGATCTGCCATAGTATATCAGTGAATTTCCAGAATACTCACTCATAGAAGCTAGTCCATCCATCTTCATTGCTTTTTGTGGCCAGCAGACCTGAGCTTCCATGATAAGTCATCATGGCTATCTCTTGACCCTGGGCAGCAACACTCTTCAGCGCATTATTAGTTCCAATAGTGAACCAGAACGTCTGGCCATCAGGACCCATCATCCAGAGCGGCAATCCCGTTGTGTCTCTCCGAATGGTCACTTTGTTCTTATTCTTGTCCGTGAGGCTGCTCAGGTCACCTTCGCCAGAGTAGGTCAAGTTGTACAAGTAGTCTCCAGTGGTCAGGCTCTGAGTGTAGATGTGACTACCGTTCACGTCAAACAGGTAGAGTTCGTCATCAATCGGCGAAGAAACCTCATACATGTTGAGCGGGTTGAGAAATGCTTTATTCCTCCTGACATATCGGATACGTATGTTACCCAGGTCAGCGATGAAGAGCTCTCCATCGGGTGAAACCGCCAACGAAGAGGGTCCGTTTAGCTTGGCGTCTTTGGCGTAGCCGTCGTCACCCGAATAGCAGTCGCAGTTAGCGTCGTTCTTGCAGTCGCAGCCACTAGGGGCACCGGCGACCAGAGAGATCTCCCCATTCGTTGAGACCTGTCGGACACGGTTGATCTTTTTCTCGTCCGACTCGGCGATGTAAAGCAAGCCATTATGGGAGACAGCGAGAGCATTGGCGGATTCCAAGGTGGCGTGGATGGCGACTTTGCTGACTAGAAAGTGATCCAGTCCGGGGACCTGGCAGTGCATCGGCCTCCCTGCCACAATCCTCACTTGATGGTTCTCTGAGATCTGCAGGACCACGTTGTTGTCCAGCACATAAAGGGAATTGTCCATCGGGCTGACGGCCAGGTCAGTGGGCCATTCTAGACGCACCTATGGGAAATAAAAATTTAAAAAGTTTTAACTTAGAGAAAGTTTTTTAAATATCCAAATCAACACTCAAATACAAACTTTTAATTGTACATGAGGAACATTTATATAAACTTTTTAATGGTATATTAATTTGTTGTAAAAATAAAATTGGTGGCTGTAATAAAAACTTGTTTTTAAAAAATACATTTAATACTAAAGAATAGGTTAAGTTAAATTTAGTGCTGTCAAATCGATTAATCATGATTAATCGAATCTAACATGAAAATTGGTACATATATTAGTGCTGTTAAATCGATTAATCGAGATTAATCAATTCTACAATAAAAGTTTGTTTTTATTAGTGGTCAAACGATTAAAATATTTAATCGCGATTAATCGCATTAATGTCATAGTTAACTCGCAATTAATCGCACATTTTTATCTATTCTAAATGTCTCTTGATTTCTTTTTGTCCCATTATTTTTTCTCATTTTAATGCTCTTATCAACATGGAAAAGTGGATCGGCTTGCTTTCTGCAAATGTTTTTTATTGAAAACAACATTGACATACACTGTGTTCAATTTCACACTAACATTCTCACTTGGAGCAAATAATCTCTCACACAATGTAACACTGTCCATCAATAAAAGGGTGAAAGAAATACTGACGAGGTCCTGATATTGACGAGGGGGCGGAGAATTCGCATCAGCTGTGTGTGTGTGTGTGTGTGTGTGTGTGTGCTTGGCCATCAAGTGGTATTTCAGACTGGACGTGCAATGATGATAGCTCAGTTCACAACGACAAAACACACAGATCACTTTGGTCTTGTTAATGAAGCCATTTGGCATTCAGAATCCTATTGGCATCCATTTCGGCGTCTCGCGCTCATCATCCACTCAAAACGTAACGTTAACCTACTATTTGGCCGGCTCGCAGTCCAAACAAGTGTGTGCGGCGTGCCTGTTGTTTTGTTTCCGGTCTAGCTAGATCTGCTTGCGCTTTGGTCGACGAAGCAACAAAACGTGCATGTGGCAAAAGCATGTGAAAAAAAAACTACAAAGTTTGCTAGGCCAAAAAGACCGTTAATCGCGCAATAAAAAAATTGACGCCGTTAAAATGGGTTTGCGTTAACGCCGTTAATAACGCGTTTAACTGACAGCCCTATTTTTTATATAATATATGTATATATATATATATACACACACAGTATACACACACACACATTATACATTTACAAACTTTTATGTTAGATGCGATTAATCGTTTTGACAGCATTTAATGGCTTTCTGAGGTAAACATTATGTGACATTGTTCACAAGCTGTTTTATTGACGTCTTTCCACGGTTGAAACAAAGATGAAGCGATTACATGTGACATGATACATTTCAGTATGTTGTACTGTATCTTTCAAAATACCTTCTGATGTTCATCCATATTTATTTTGTGCTGTAACTAGTGGTACAAAGGAAGAGATGATCTGTCGCAACCCAATCCCATTGGCCAATTAGCCAAAAACGTGAAAAAAAAGTTACGAATTGCCATGAGATTGTGTTGTTTGTTCACATGCTGCTGAAGGCACTGAGTACAGAGGTCCGTCATGCCACTTTGAAGAGCGTCAAAATTAGTTTGAATTTCTTTATAAAACAGACAATTTGAAAGCTGAGACTTTGCTTATAATAACCAACATGGCACAAAACTAATTGCAATTATTGGACTCTACAAATAATGTTTAATACTTTCAACATCGAAATGAATATATTGTCAATCCAGCCCTAGTGTCCACATAGCTAACATGTTTTCTATCATGTTAGCTATGTTAAACGCTAATCAAACGTCACTGTTTTGGCCATCTAAAACGGTTCAGTCTGAAACCGAAAAATCTTTTTCAGCCAAATATTTTCAGTTGCTGAAATTTCAGTGCATCACTAAGCTAAATAATGCGACATACAGAATATATTTTTATTTGTTACATCTGAAAATACATTTATCAAGGCAAGAATTGATAACCGAAATACCAGACATCAATAATGGAAAAGCAAAAACAGGAAAGAAAAAGGTTTGAATAGGTCAGAACTGCCTCAGAACACAAACAGTTCTTGAATTAAGGCTTGTTCATCTGATAAACATGAAAGTAAAAAAAAAGGAAGTTGAATTGCTGATAAGAAAAAGAAGAAGGGGAGAGAAAGTGAGTCAACTGATCAGATTAAGGTGGAGTGGACGCGTGGACTCCCAAAACAGCATGCTTGCCCCGTATCTGTCAGGCCTCCACATGGATGTCTTTTTCTAGCTTTGGGTTATTAATTTCATAATGGAAAGCGACTGCAGCAGGGGAACAGGACCTTTGAAACAAAACGTAGCACACTTATCAAACAGGGCCGCTGCCTCCTGCCTGGCTGCCTAAATTATGACTTATTGTTCTGAAAATAATGCAGCAGGCTTTTAACACAAAAATTATTGAATCTGTTAAATTTGCACAGACCCTCTCTTCACTAGGGGACCGTAATCGCTCTCTTAGGGGCCGAATATGAAGAGTCTTATTTCAATAGTGTTCTTGGCATGCTAACAAGGCTGGCTGATTAAAAGATGCTTTTAATGCACTCCGAGAATAGACGAAAAAGCTACCAAGCTGAGCTTAATATTAAAAGTATTATTTAAAAGTAGCAAACTAATCCGGAGCCATCGACTTGGACGTGTCGTTTTTTATGGAGCAGTGAGAAAAGCTAGGTAAATAGCATGACTAATGTAGTCCATTCAAAGTTTCCTGGATTTCTCTTAATAGATTCCTAAATGTGACTGTTTGTAATTGAAGAGACAGAAAAATGGTATGCTGACATTTCCATCAGAGACAAGCAACCCGATGTGGTATTTAGATGAAAAAAGAAATGGCTACAAACCTCATTTTACAGACTCAGACATTCACTTGATAATTAAAAAAAAAAAAGTATAATTCAGCTTTAATACTCTTTAATACTTCTCAGAAATTCTCTTTCATCCATTAATTCAACATACCTAGAAAGCATGAGTCATTCAGAGCTGAACAATGGACTTTTGGTTAGGAGTTATGGGTAATATTTCTGCATGAAACAGATGGTTACAGTAATGCACAGTATATTTCTTTTCTATTTCTTAAAAGAGGCATTTGTGAAACAGCGTGTTTTATGCAACAATCAGTACAGTGTTTGCATTTCAAACAGGAGTGCTACATTTGTCACAATAATGCATAAATCTTGGAAATAAAAACTATTATTTTGTATTTTTAATGTAAGTCTGTGTAAATATCTTAACTTCTTGTGGTATGATCAAATAAATAGTCCAAATAATAATAATACACACCAGAGATGGGGGACTCGAGTCACATGACTTGACTCGAGTCAGACTCGAGTCGCAAATTTAAGGACTTGAGACTTGCTTGACTAAATTAAGAAAATGACTCGACTTGACTTTGACTTGAGATCCAATGACTTGAGACTTGACTTGACTTGAACTGTATGACTCGAGAATGACTTGATATACATTTTTCTATAAATCATCGCAACATCCATTGATAAACAAAATGAAAGCAACGGAACCATTGACGTCAGTCATCAGATTCTGCGCGATTGCGTGACGCTGCACAAGCCCAGAAATAGCCTACATCGCGGTGAGCGCGCTAAAAACAAAAACATCTCCCTGCATCGTATCTTTTTGGATATAAACACTAGAAAATGACCATATTCATGCAAGAAGATTTGTTGTACGCATAATAACTGGCAAGGGATATCGGACGACCATCACAACCTCGAACAGTCGAACTTCATTCACCACGTCTAAAAGTAAGCTATGGCTTGTTTAACCTGTTTGTTATAGTTAATTTGACTATCTTTAAATCTAGAGAGAATAATATTGGTCAAAACAGCATGCCTCTTTATACACAATTATGTTTTCAAATGTAGCTTAATGTTGTCAATATTCAAATGATAATTAATGATGGTATATGTTTTGTACAACATTTGCCACATTTCTTTTTAAATCATGCTTTAAAGCCAAAAATGTTGTTCTTTCCAATGACGAAAAACAATATAGAAAACTGTTAGTTTTGTCGTTTATGTTTCTCTTAATGTTATCAGGGGGTTGGTGGAAAAAATGCCAGCAGAATTAATATGCACCCAAAATTCAAAATGTGGTGGAAAAATGGCCCTATGAGTTATTTTCATAATTATAACATATATAAAAAAATATTTCCAGATTATTGGCGCGATTGCAAATGTGATGATATTATAAACAGTTCAGTAAACAAAGAGTGAATATTGTGATGTGACATTTTAGACATAATATTCCAAATATTTTCTGTTTTTGCTCTATTTCTCCAATGACAATAGTTCCAAACAAGCCACAGAAAGAGTTATGCGTATTTGTGATTCAGTGACCTAGTTGCTTAGTTCCAGAACGAATCTGTCATTTTGAACAAATCAGTTGACTGCTTCTATGACTCGTACATTAAGACGGTGATTTGGCGCCACCTATTGGCGGTTTTAACTTCATAATAGGCTAAATGCCAACGGCTGTTATATAACTTATATAAAGGGGATGCCAGTTTGAAGAATGCCATTTGGTGGCATAGGAACCATTATACTTGAATTGTGAATTGTTTAATACCTTTTAATGGTCTTCTGCAATGTTTGAGGCATATTTATTTTTTCATGCTTTAATGTTGGCCTAATTTCAGTTACATTTACATTTTAGGCTATGTAGTTTGAAATTGTATTTATTTTTTATTTTTTAGATTTTTATTGTAGTAACCACTCAGCTGTATGTGGAAATGCATATTTAAAAAAAATATGTTGCAAATAAAACCATAGTCCACAACTTATGTAGTTTTAACTTATTTTAATATATAAATTCAGTGAAATCATCAAACGTTTGTATGACTTGCCAGTGACTTGTGACCCAAGCTACGACTTGACTTGACTTGCTTGACATAAGGCAGTGACTTGACTTGACTTGCTTGCTTTTATAAAAAATTGACTTGGACTTGCTTGAG